TGAGAGTGAGAGTGAGAGTGAGAGTGTGAGTGTGAGTGTGAGTGTGAGTGAGAGAGAGAGAGAGAGAGAGTGAGCGAGCGAGCGAGCGTGTCTGGTTTGTACATCTGGACGGGCAGAAGAGCTTGACTGTGTTTCTTATTATACGGCGTGTATCGAGTTTCATGGCCTGGCAGACGAGTGTTCGCCGTTAACCTCGCGCTCCGGAGGCCAGAGGCCGCGTCTGATGGATCTGAATTGCCTGAAATTGCTTACAAATTAGGGAGCAGAAATCAGCATCATCCGTGTGCCGGTCCGATCCACCGTAAAACTCACTATGCTTTAGAACTGAACATCTACAGGGTCAATTCTGTGGTTTTAATTATTATTAAATCTGAAACAATTGATGCTTTTAACCCTCATAATACATTCAAAATCTGTACTAGTTTCAACTTCAAAGAGTCGTTGTTTTAGAAAATGTTATTTTATTTGTTATTTTTATATAAGGTTATTGCCACTTTTTCATCTCACAATTCTGACTTTTTTCTCATAACTGCGTGATATAAACTCGCAATTGTGAGATAAAAAGTGGCAATAACCTTTTTTTATTTTTTATTCTGTGGCGGAAACGGCTTCCATAAGTATTAACCCCATTGGAACAATTAGAATTTAAATAAATTACTTTGAATTTATAACTCATGATTGCTCAAAAATAGTCCAAATTTATAAAACCTACATATTTATTTCTAACATAACAAATACGACAGAAATGTTTAAAAAAAAAAAAAGTAAAAAAAAAGTAATTCATTTTATTTGCATAAACGTTCACTTTTAGATGAAAAAGTGATTATTTTTTACACTGCAATGCTCATCAACAGAAGACTGGATGGATGGATGGATGGATGGATGGATGGATGGAAAAGTTGTTTCCTTATAAAAAAAAAAATTTTTCAAGTCAAAAGAGTCAAAAGGGACCCAAATGCGCAATTTTTTCAGATTTCAGTGTCATTTAAAATAACACAACTGACACACTTCTAAAACACAGCAAGTCGCCTACATAGGCAGCGTTTTAAGTGTTCTACTGCCTTCTAAATCAGTGTTTCTCCACCGTCTCGTCTCGCGCTCCGGAGGCCAGAGGCCGCACACCTGATGGATCAGAATTGCCTGAAATTGCTTACAAATCAGGGAGCAAAAATTCAGCATCCTCCGTGTGCCGTTCCCACATGCGGAGGGCAAAGGAAATATAATTTAGTGCGGGCACCCGAACGGGTCAGACCTGCAAAACTAAAAGACCGTAATCTGCATCCGAGAGGCGAGCGGCGCTTCAGAAGAAACCCGCTCCGAGCGTTTCGGGACAGATGCAGATACACGCGGCCCTCATGAATTATGTAGAAGCGTCTCCAGCGATGGGCTGAAGGGGATCGTTTGTATTCATTGACTTTCTGCTATCGCATCGCACCACTGGAAGCTAACGGGACCGCGCCGGTACTCTTTTCATTAGCGGGGTTAAACAAACAGACATGGGTTGATTTGCCGCGCTCTCGCTTTAGAGTGAATCTTAACATGGCTGATATGATCTAATATTAAACACATGGCACAGGTTATGGGAGAGTTCGAGAAAGATTCACACACCACACAGATGAACTGGTTTCAGACCAGCTGTGCTCGCTCGCTCCAGATCAACAACGTTTGTCTTCCAGTAATGATATCTAAACATTCTTACAGTAAATCAAGATACATTTACTAGGAACGCAAAATATCTGCTGCGTTACCCACAACACTGGTTATTATACACCATTGTATAAAGTATAAAATAGTGATTTTCATCTGCATTTCTAAACCGGACTGTCGGATCTGAAAGCGTCCAGCGATCCTGATCCTGGACTAAACCACGTGTTTGTTGACTTACCTCTCCTGCAGGATGATCTTGTTCTGCTTCTTCCAGTAGTCTTTAAAGTCGGTGGAGAACTCGTGCCAAACGGAGAAGAAGGTGTTGAGCGAAACCTCTTTCTCTCCGCTCTTGGCCTTCACTGAGAAGAACACGCAGAGCTCCAGGAACCTGCGACACGAACGGATCATGAACAAAGAGGAACACCTGATTGCAACTAAACACAGCATCACTTTCACAGAGAAGCGTCACTGCCATTATAACAGTATATGTGTTTAAACGTCTTGTAGCACAGGACTTACACACTGCAGCTTTAAACTGCATGCATATAAACACAATTGCAAAAAATGATGCTTTACATTTTGTGAGTGTCACCGAGTTGCTTCTCTTGACTTTCCAGCTCCGCTTTTGCTGTAAAAAAAATAAGCAGTTTTGAATGTTTAATTACATGTTTTTAAAACAGGTCTGTGTGAGTTTACAGTAATAAAATAAGTCAACTTTATTTCTAAAGTACAGTCGAGATTCAAAGCAGCTTCAGAAACGTAAAAAGGGAAATAAGTGTTAATGCTGCAAAATGCAGCTCAATACAACAGACCCTTTTTTACAGTTAATAATATCATAACGTTTTATGTTTTTAAATTTTATACTGTGTAAGTAACACTTTTATAAATCTAAATGTGCACGTAGAATAATATTGTAAAATTAAATAAAAATATATAGGGAAAAAAAACTTTAAAAAGGTAAAAGATGAAAAAGTTGCCTTTAATAATGGTTAAAAAGTAAATAAATAAATACATGTAACTTTAAAGTTATGAACTTCTAATATTAATTATATATGTACACATTTATACCCATGCACATAAATATAATATAAATACACTGCTGTTCAAAAGTTTGGGATCAGTAAGATTTGTAATGTTTTTAAAGTCGTCTCTTCTGCTCAGCAAAGCTGCATTTATTGATCATAAAATACTTAAAATTGTGGAATATTATTATAATGTAAAACAGCTGTTTTCTATGTGAATCTCTGTTAAACTGTAATGTATTTCTGTGATGCGCAGCTGTATTTTCAGCATCATTACTCCAGTCTTCAGTGTCACATGATCTTCAGAAATCAGTGTAATATGCTGATCTGCTGCTCGAGAAACATTTCTGATTATTATCAATGTTGCTGCACAATATTTCTTTTTTTTTTTTTGGGAAGCCGTGATACTTTTTTCAGGATTCTTTGATGAATAAAAAGTTAATGAAGAACAGGATTGATTCAAAATAGAAATCTTTTGTAAGAACATACACTACCGTTCAAAAGTTTGGGGTCAGTATTATTATTATTTTTTAGCAAGGATGTATTAAATTGATTAAAAAAAAAAAGTGATAAAGACTTACATTGTTAGAAAATATTTCTATTTTAAATAAACGCTGTTCTTTCTAACTTTATTCATCAAATAATCCTGAAAAAAGTATCACAGGTTCCAAAAATATATATAATATATATTAAAAGCGGTTTTCAACATTGATAATAATCAGAAATGTTTCTCGAGCAGCAAATCAGCATATTATAGTGATTTCTGAAGATCATGTGACACTGAAGACTGGAGTAATGATGCTGAAAATACAGCTGCACATCACAGAAATACATTACAGTTTAACACAGATTCACATAGAAAACAGCTGTTTTACATTCTAATAATATTATACTATTTTTCTGTATTTGTGATCAAATAAATGCAGCCTCTGTGAGCAGAAGAGACTTCTTTAAAACACATTAAAAATCGTACTGATCCCAAACTTTGAGTCTGCGCATCATTCCCAGACAGCCAGACGAGTTCCTCACGTTCATCTGCAGACGCTGAGATCAGATCCGATCAGAGCAGAGGAGCGCTTCTTCATCATCATCATCATCATCATCTCTAAACCCTCAGCAGTGAAACATACTCCGAGTATAACCCTGATCTTCAGCAGCAGCGGATGAGAAATACTCACTTGAACAGGAAACAGAAAGAAGCTGCTGCTTTTGATGTGAAACATGAACAGAGTTCAGCTCACGACACACACGGAGATCAGCAGAATCTGTCTGCATATGAAAACTGTGCTGCGCAGACGTCCAGATGATGACAGACGCGAGAGTGAATGAGATTGGAGATCTACAGCGAGCACACGATCCGTTCCTGTCTTCAGATGAATCACTCCTGTCATAATTAAACGATGTTCACTGACGAGTCACTGCTGAGGACTGAAGCGTCAGAGGGTTTAACTCTGAAACGATCTCAGGGGCTCAGAGCCATCAGACTCACAGAGTCAGGAAACAAATAGCCCTCACAAAGGTAAAAGATGAAGCAGAAGTGCAGGGGTCACGACTCAAGGTGCTCTTTGACAAATTGAGGCCGGTAGTGGTTAAGGGTTCGACACCATGAAAAACCACGAATCCCCCCAAAACACACACACACACACTCTAACACACTTCACACAGACACTCTAACACACACAGACAGTTCTCCTGACAGACAGACGGGTGTGTGAGAGAGTGTGTGTGTCTGTGTGAGAGTGTCTGTGTGAGAGAGAGAGAGAGAGAGAGAGAGAGAGTGTCTGTGTGTATCACGTTCACTGCATCATCAGACTCACTCACCTTCACTCACAAACGCCTCCATTCGGTCTTTAAAGGGCTGCAGATGCTCTTCAGTCGAGACAGAGCACACCTTCTCCACCTCTGCAGTGCATGCTGGGAAACAACATTTACATTCAGAAAATCTCCATCAAAAATAATCATGGAATGGAAATTACACACACTGGGCCTCATTCATCAAAACACAAAGTTATGACTTCATAAATTGATTCTGCTTGTTTCATGAACAAACCCCCTTCATATTTACATTCAAAATGGCATTTATGAAAAAACAAAATGGCATTTATGAAAAAACAAATCAGCATATTATACTGATTTCTGAAGATCATGTGACACTGAAGACTGGAGGAATGATGCTGAAAATACAGCTGCGCATCACAGAAATACATTACAGTTTAACAGAGATTCACATAGAAAACAGCTGTTTTACATTAGAATAATATTTCACAATTTTACTGTATTTTTAATCAAATAAATGCAGCCTTTAAAAATAAAAAAATAAAATAAGGAATTATTAAACATGGAAGTCTCACTGGGCCTCATTTCCTACAGAAACTAATTAATGACACTAATTAATTTTTTTTACAAAAATGTATTCTGCTCATGTTTCATGAATGAAACTAAATAATGCAACTATAAGGCATTAAAATATTAAGATTTGATAAAAATGAACCATGATTTTTTGTAAAACTGCTTTGAAACCATGTTTAATTAATATATAATATTATTAATAGGTTTATAATATTATAACACATTAAAATACATTAAATATAAAAACATATACATATTAAATGAAAAACACACACACACACACATATATATATATATATATATATAGTATTATTAATGTTATATATTAAATTATATATTATATTTAATACTTTTTTTCACAATACACTGTTTCAAAGCAGCTTTACAGAAAATCATAAAGTTTTATAATATCTTAATATCTTCATGCCTTATAGTCGCATTGATCAGATTAGAGCTGGAAGATAATGCTAATGCTAACACTCACGATCACAGAATTCTGGAAGTTTTCAGCAGAGGAACGATCATTTTTATATAAATTTTCAGGTACGAACGAAACACCGAGTCATGATCACGCCACACAAACACTCATCCCTCTGCGAGCATCAGCGTCTTTTTACCTCTCAGATCTTTCCGGAGTCTCAGCAGATCTTTAGTTAAGTCCTCAAACTTCATCTGAGAGGACTGAAACAGGTCGTGAGGTTCTGGGAGAGGAAACACACACGTCTCCCTGCCCGCGTCCTGAAACACACACAGACAGACAGACAGACAGACAGACAGACAGACAGACACGCAGAGACAGACACGCAGAGACAGACACGCAGAGACAGACACGCAGAGACAGACACGCAGAGACAGACAGACAGACAGACAGACAGACAGACACGCAGAGACAGACAGACAGACACGCGACACAGACGACACAGACAGACAGACAGACAGACAGA